TATTTGTGAGATGCTGGCATGCCAAGACAGACGGATGAGCTGCAGCCACATTTCACAACAACTGCAACGGAAAAGGACCCACCGTGACGATCATCCAAGTCAATTCTCATATTTTTGGTGGAAATACCAATGTATTTTGGAACGGCAAGTATTCAAACTAATAAACTGCACTAGACATCTATGTGTGACCACCCGTCGAGGAGGAATGGCCAAGGACGTTTCCAAGATCTCTATTGGATTCTCGTACTATCTGCAACTAATTAATTTTTTTTTAATTCTGTTGTCCCTCCAGTAGTCAAAGCCAACCTTTGGGCACCTTTCTCAGTGACAGAGAAAAGGAACATCAGGTTTAGCCAGTTATATTGAAATTCGGTCACTACAATGGCGTACAATTCAACTTGTGACATTTCGGATTCACCATTATTTAGTAGGAAAAATGCACCTTTTAAAACTTTCATAACCTCTTTAGAATACTTAATTCTCATATTAGGTTAATGCTAATGTCGTCGACTTAAATTCAAAATGTATGCTTTAGCTGCACGCGACAGATGCCCTTGCGTTCCAGCCGGTAAGGCCTTTATTTTCTCACTCAACAACATCAATGGATACGCTCCTGTAAAACTCTCACCTCGCACAAATTTGCACCGCGCTATGAGAGACTGTTTCGGATTAGGACCCTCGTTTGGTTATGATATCCGTATAGTGAGTGACGCTGTCAACAACACTGACTCCCTCACCCACTGTGGATGCAGGTACACCCCTCCCCCAGGATATTCACATCAGAACTGTCCATTTTTTGCCGGCACCATTACGTTTTCTCCAACTAACATTGAAGTATTCTATGAAATGTTATCTTAGAGAAATTTTCATTGCTAATTGCATCAGAAGATTCATCAGTAGACAACTTAGGAGACTGGTGTAATCTTTTTCCAGTACACGCATAAATACCTATTTAACTAGAACCGCAATGTGTATTTAGATTAATTTGTAAGTCGTCAGATTATAAATTTGAATCTGTATTTTCCACTTAATACGGCATGACTACATTGCATGATATACTTGAATTTATTTTAACCCGTGTCTACTGGCTTTAATTTTCTCTCTTTGTCAGGAAAAGGTAATCACCACAATAAAAGACCTGGTGAGAAACTTGACTTTATAACATAATTGACTGTTCAAATCAATATAGGCTTTGTGTTTTCATTACCATAAATGCTGATGGAGTAGGGAACAAGCCCTCCAGGGAGTCTCCCTTTGGAAATATCTGCTTCTGACCCTATTTATCATACGAAAGAAAAACTCTTTATACTCAGTAACTTCCGTTTCCCTTTACTCTCCCACAGTAAGCTCGTATTAGTGCGGTTCCGGGTTAAAAGGAAAAAGCCCAAGTCTTGCGCCAAAGTTATTTTTCTATGTCCAAACCTAACCAGATTTTAATTCAATTACTACACAACCCAATATATTCCTAAGATGGTCGAGAGGGAAACTATGATAAAAAAAATCTCTTTAGGTTTTTTTTTCTTTTTCGTCTTCCTTTTTAAAGTGCTCACGATATCTGTTTTCAAGTGCAATTTTACGCGAGATTCATGAATCAGATAGTGAATTTTCCTTGAATCGCATGAAAATAAGAAACAAGAAAGCAGCAATAATATTGTTTGTTTTTTATCCTGAGCGCACGCACCAGAAAGCCATTTCAAAGTCATCTGTCAGAACTGTCATTGCGTTAGCGAAAGGAAAGCAAGGTCAAGCGTATACGTTTGAACCTTGGACAACTTTATTTGTAGCTTGTGCTTGTTTTTACGTTTGTTTACAAACTTTTTAAATAAGCTTCTTGTGGGCTTATTTAATAAACTCAAGTGCTTTCATGGAATGGCTAAGTTGAAAGGGACAATATAATTTTCAATAGCATTGTAACACCAGCAGTTAATTGCCAAATCTGCATGCTATCAAGCAACCCCTTTCAAAGACAACTGCAAGCTCACAGGAGCTTTCATAAAGTCTCTGTTTCTCTAAAAGATTTTACCTTCAGCGTGCATTAGTGCGAAGTTTTGTGAGATTAAAATTAAGTACTGATGTGGAGGTAGACCTCATGAGTGTGGAAATATACACGAAAGACGGCGAGCTGATGCATAGCGCGCAAATCCATCAAGAAGGTAAGGATGGTAGGCGGAATCGCAACGACTATTAATGGACGCATTCTCTTTGTTAAATGCCCCTATACCCTTGTTAACTAACTTTAAGCAATAAATTCTAACGGTAACCGGGCTCGTATTTCTTTATTTACTTTCCAGTGTCTTGTCTGGCAAAGTAGGTATTCAAGATCAGACACGCTTTTCAAAGATAAGACCATCCGTTAAGAACAACCGATACAGAGTTGAAGTGTACGAAGTAAACGCCTCATTGCAGAAACAGTGTTGCAAACGTCTTTAAGCCAACTTAAGTTCTTCTTATAAATTGGTATGCTGAGACTTTTAACTACTCCTGTTCCTGCTAACAGCTCAGCTTTCTCCACCTTTTTAGTTCTTCTTGAGAAAAATGACTACCAACATCTATCTAGCTAATTCCTTAAAAAAGGCTGCTCTAGCTATTGGTCTAGAAAAATGAGAGCTTTTCGAAAATCTTAAGTTCAACGTGATTCATTCACTTCTACACTTGGAAGTTAGCTTATTATCTTCATTGCCAAAATTATCAGAGATTTTAATTTCCGTTTTACAACTTATTTGATATTCATTTTTGTTTTCTTATTATTATTATTACAACTTATTATTTCAGTACCAAAATTATCAAACATTTTAATACCATTTTACAACTTGTTTGAAAGTTGAAATGTCACAATGATCCAATACAGCAGAGCACTTTAGGAACCAATCCACCCT